CCTTTAGGGAGTAATTGTATTTAACCTTTAAACTTTAAGTTTTCATAAAACTATTCTTGACTAGTTGTTTTAAAGGAAATTTGGAAAAAAAATACTAGATTTGAATAATTTCAAATAAATGGCATAGAAAACTTATTTGGCAAGAAAACCCGTTTGAAGCAATTTGGTTATAGTTTGCCTCTAGAGGGAAATATCTTTAAAAGAAATCACACGAAACATTTTATTTCTTTACTAGCTTCGATTTTTAGAAATTTAATAACTTGTTTCGAGAAATTAAATTAGTTTTATAAGATAACCTTTTATATATAAAACAAGAGTTTGTTTAGTAAAACTTATAGTTTTTGAAACTTGGATTTCTAGGATTTAGCGAGGACTTGGACTACGATTCCCGGCTTGACCTTTGAACTTCACTCTTGATGAGTGTTCCTTATTTGTTATATTTCTTTGGCTTATTGGCTTGATCTTATTGCTTGATAATGTGTTAAATGCTTTCAATGATTGTCAAAACGAGTTTTCAAGGCGAGTGTGTACTTTATCGCACTTAGCCTAAATGATTGTGAAAATTTAATGATTGAACGATTGAAATGTTACTTGTGCATGAATGTAAGCCCTTTTGGGCTGAACTGGCCATTGCCCCTTGTTACCGGTCGTCTCGAGCCAGTCGGACTCGGTCGAGCGATTGGGGACCTAGGTGAACGTTTCGGTATACTCGAGTATTACCCTGTAGGTTGGTGGAGCCTGGCCAAAAGCCAGGGACGGGGTGAATGAAAGGAATGAACGAATGAATGAACGAGGGGTTTTACTTATACAAAATGCATTTTGCAAATGACTGGAGGAATAAGGGGAAATGTCAGGAGAACGAACGAACGAACGAACGAACATATGGCTCCCTGTGAGCCCGTATCCTTTTCATGAACGTGTTTATTACTTTATTTGTATTTGTCTCTTGAATTATTGGTTATATGTAATGAATGCATTGATTTTCTTGTTGCCTATGTGTTCGGAACCTCACTGAGCTTTAGCTCACCACACGATATTTGTTTTCCTTAACAGGTTCCGGAAATCGAGAGACTTGAAGTCTATCTTATCGTTTTGTAAATGTTATTTCGAATCATACTTGTATCTTCGTTTTGGGTTGCCACTTGAAGCTGGAAAAGTGCAAACCCTAAGATTTGGCTTGTATGAATTTTATCTACTGTGTGGTTTGTATTGTATATATTGAGATTATGTGGTGATCTGGTCAGAGATGTATTTAGGAGTGAACGGGTGGATGTTCAATGGTAAGGTTATCTCTGAAGTTAATGTGTTTTAGTATTCAAGTCGCTTAAAGGTTGGCATGTTCGGATGGCGAATTGTGTTTTGGTTTAAGTTATACGTGGATAATTGGTCGGTTTGCTTGTGTGAGTCCTGGCGAGAGTTGGGCAGGCGACCCGCCAACCCTCTGGTTCGCCTTAGGGAGAAGTGGGGTCGTCACAATCTTAGCCGTCTCCTATACCACGCTGCACCTCTGTCAATCACTTTGCAACCCAATTCATAAATTTCTTCTCTTTCCAACTGTTTAAGAGACTCATTTCACAGACAACAATTCTCGGCCCAACTTTCGTCCTCCCACCACACTGCACTTGGTCTTAAGGTAATCTTCCTTCTTCTCTTCCTTCTTCTTTTTCATTTTTCTATCTACTGGACTGAAATGCACCTACTTTTACACTTTTTTTCTTCATCTGCCCAATTTTTTTGTCTCGTATGTTTTAGAATTTTTTGTCTAAATGTTTTCTTTTAAGCGGAAAAGGTAGAAATAAACTTTTGTGTGTACATATAGGGGTTTACAAAGTACAAACACTTTTGGGGTTAAATAAAAAATGTATGGTATTTGTTAAATTGGTTGCTACAGAATATGACGAAGTTGGAAGGGGTATTGCAAGAGTTATTTCAGTTTGTAGTTGCACAAATTACTCGATGAAAAACTAATCATTGCTGCTTATTTGTGCCCTTTTTTTATGCCAGCCCAAGCCTTCTTCACTAAAATCGTTTTTTTTCTCACATGCTTTGAAATACCTTTGACTACTAATCCATTGTGCATGAAGTAGATCTTAATCTTCTTTGTGGTAGTTTTGAGCTGCTCAAAGCCACCAAAATAGAGCTTCTTAGTGATAGTTGATAATCATATTTCAGTTTTGTTCACTACCAAACATTATAAGGGATAGGATTTTCATTTTTGTCTTCTACTTACCAATGCATATTGTTGCTTCCCAAATAAGGTCTATTACAGATATAATCACAAAAAATTCTTATTATTCCGTAGTATCCTAGCTTGTGTTGAGACTATCCTTGCCAATTGTAGGTTTTACATGGTTTTGCAGCCTGTATTCTCCTTAATTATTACATTGCCTATAAGATATAAGCTCTTCCCCTTTGATGGACTCCTATTTAAACATTACCTCAAATAATTTTGCAAGTTCCTATACGTCTTTTTCCTTTACATTTTCTCCTATCAGCTATATTTAATCATATATGTGCTTATTTTGCTTTCCTATATAGTTAATTAATATATTACTTTTAATTAATATATTCTATTCCATTAATATATTCTATACTGTTTCACTTTCCTATACACTAACTACTTATAACATAATGCTAATTACTTATAACTTCAGATAATTCAAAATTTACCAGTTGCTTATATCTAACTCTTCCTATAATTAATCTGCTATTACCATTTTACACAGTTTAAACATTAGTCTATTAATGCCATCATTTTACTGCAGCTTTTGCCCTTATGGAAAATACTATCGTTCCATTATCAACAATTGATCCAAATCTACTAAATTGGACAGCAATTGTCCAGGTTATTGAAATAAAGCATGTCATACATATCGGTGAACCTCAAACAAGTTATCAACAATATGCACTTGCTGATAAACAGATTTCACAATTTTGCTTTTTTAATTATTCTTTTGTCCTTCATTTATCTTTTAACAGCAACTAACAAAACTAAAATAGAGGGACTTAGGGTCAATATGCATGTACCTGCAGACTACCTTCAACAATTTGCCAACTTGCTTTTACCTTTTAAAACATACTACAGATCTAATGCAATTGTGCGTGTCTTCCTTCCCGATATCCCTGTCGGAGAATATCCCTACTATTGGGTTGCCACAAATAAAACACACATTCAGCAGATACAAGAGCTGCAATGACCTTCTCTTCCACTTTTTTTCGTGTTGCACCCCTTTGCCATGTTGGACACAATTACTGATACATATCATTTAATAAGTATATAGACCAGTGCCCTTTTGTTTATTTGCTTTTTTACCGCACAAAAATTTTTTTTTACCAAATATATCTAATCGTTTCTTATATATAATTGCTTTAGATATCATGGGAAGAGTGCTGCATGTTCTACCTATAAAAGAAAAAAGTTTTCGAGGAAAACGAACGATCAGTAGAGATTATGTAATTGTTGATCAAAGGTTATGATCCAATTCTTAGTATTGACACTTTGTAATACCTTTGAACAATACTATAGAGTAACAAATATCATTCTCTTTCTTGATGCTTCTACAGTATGCAGCCATTACTTCTCACTCTCTCCGATCAAATTGAAGAGGCCCATGGACTTATTATTGCTTCCCAGCATGAACCCTTTCTAGTTCTTATTGCTATTAGAATCAAAGTCACAACAAAAAAGTGTAAGCATGCACATTTCTCTTTCTCGCAAATATTTTTATGGCTTTTCATTTCACACAGCAATTTTTTTGCATAACACTAGATCTTAGCTTCTCAACTCAACCATCATTTGTGATCCTCATAAATCCAGATGTTCAAGAAGCAGTAGACCTGCATAATTGGTATAGATTTCAATTTTCTATCATCTACTTTTATTATTCAAATTCCTAGCTAATTTTTCTATATATGAATCAGGTTTTGTGCTAATTCTAACCAATTAACACAGCTGCTAACCAACACAAGTTATGCTAATCCCAATGTCCTTCTTCCGCCTCCCAATGATAATCAAATCATGGTTATTGCTATTGCAAGACAAATTGTAAGACTCCATGCTCCTCTTTTATTCATGCTATTATCTCTGGATTTATTTTAAGAATAGTTATATTTTTCGCCATTCCTATATTTGCTTGATAGGAAGTTGGCACAGCATGGATTAGAGGTGCTACTGAGATAAACTATAGAGACAATACAATGTACCGTATGATATATCCTAATTGTGAAGAGCCTCATTACTCTACATATATAATGCCAGCATTCTGTCAACATGTTTAACTATTGCCCAGGTTCTTTGCGACCTCTTGCATTATTCATAAATCATACAATTCATTTTGCAAGCAATTTCATCTTTCTCTAAATATTATCACTTTTCCCTTTGCAGAGCATGTATTTTGATTTCACTTTCTGATTGAACTGGTTCGATATATGCAACCGCCATGGATATTGAAGCTGAAAAATTGGTTGGATATTCAACAAGTGAACTTTATCATGCAAGCCAACAAGTAATTATTTATTCCCTTTATTTACACAAAATTTTTTACCTCTTCTTTTTCATTCTAAGGAATAACGTTATTCATTCTTCTTTCACTGTCAAACAGAATCTTGATATTGTTAGCCTTGTTGCACCAAAGTTGCACGGAAGAACGCTTATTTGCTGCATTCAACATTATAACTTTAGGCCTGTTTGGAAGGTCAAGTTTTTTACAAGTTTGTATGCTACTAGTTTTTTAACAACTTTTGCTACAGGAACCCAAAAAACATCTCAAAATTTTTTTATTTACACATTTCAAAATACCCAAAACACACAAAAAAAAATTCCATTCCCTTTTTTTCTTCTTCCTCCCCCCATCCCAACCGACCACTACCTCTGCCACCGTTTCCTTTTTTTTTTGCCTTTTTCCCTCTCCCCGCCATCTTCCCCTGCCATCCTCTCATTTTACCCAGTTTGTATGACCCCTTTTTTTTAAAAAAAATTCCTTTCCCCCACTCCTCCCCCATCACCCTGCCCCTTCCCCTCTGGCCGATCTGGTAGTGAGGCTAGATCGCACCGGGGAGGGGGATTTCACACAAGATTCTAGCTTTCCGGTTCCATTGCCACGGACCGGAGACTGATTCAGTAGCGGCGTAGTTAATTCATCTGCGCCATCTCCATGTTGCATCGGAGACGCCGCTGAGTCTTCGCCACCGCGCATCGCTACATGACAAGACGGAGATGATGCAGCAACCGAGTTGGCTGCGCCGCGCAAGGGAGAGTCAAGCGACTGCCTCTGCGGTGGAGAATCATGATTGAAAGGCGGCGATCGGTGAGGCGAGCCGGAGGCAGATAGCCTGGCGCCGGAAGATGAAGCCTAGCGAGGACGTTGGTGATTGCCTTTCCATTTCAGGTGCGACAATGAGAAATTGTGAAGCGGCTGAGATTTCGCCGGCACCGTCGACGCCATTGATCGAAACAGTAAATCTCCAGCAGGGGAGAGAGTAGGAGGAGGGGCTGTTGGTGGTGCCGTAGGTGGAGCAGGTGGAGGCGTGGGATGAGGGGCTGGAGGAGGCCTTGGCGGAGGTGCTGGAGGTGGGGCCAGTGGCGGAGTAGGGGGTGGACCAGGCGGAAGTGCTGGAGGTGCTGGAGGTGACGGGGAAGGGGGAGGGGGAAGGAAGAAGAGGAAGAGAGGAAAGAAAAGAAAAAAGCAAGAAAGAAAAAGAAAAAGAAAGAGAAAGAGAAAAGGAAAGGAAAAAAAAGTTTTTCCCCCTACAAAAAAGTTTTTCACCTTATAAAAACTTCTAAAAAATTTTTTTAAAAACTTCTACAGTGCACTACAGTAAAGTTTTAAACAAACTCCTAAAAAACTCGATTCCAAACAGGCTCTTCATTCTTTCTGGATGATCTTCTAGGCGTTCATCAACTCAACATCCACAACCTAAACATTAAGGATTAAAATTAAACTTGTTTGATTTTCATATTTACAATGCCTGTATAATTGAAACTTCTTTTGCATGACTGTTAAATTAATTTACTCTGCTTAGTATTTTACTAATTTTCATTTTCACCAACATTACTAACTAAACATTAACTGAGCATATATACCACTGCGCACAGGGCGGTGCATACCACCTAGCAAAAGAAAAGCATGTAGAAATACAGTTTTTGGTTGTGCACTTGTCTAGGTGATATGAGCAACATCTTATTGGCTCTTTTGTTTTCAAATAAAAATTTTGTTAAAATAAAATATGAGATAATTTTTTAAATTAGTCTTTCTACTCAGTTATCTACTTGAATTTGTGCTCCTTTGTAAAGTGAATATATGCAATCCACGCTCAAAAAGAACTTCTTGACGTAGTGACTTGGTAGCGGCGACGGTTGTTTGCTGTTGTAGAGTTAGTAAAGTCAGCAAGATTCAAAACATTTGTCAATACAAATTCCATTGATTAAAGTGGAACCTAAACTATTTTATATACTAGCAAAGAGGAGGTAGGGCTCTACAAATATATTTCATTTTACCTTTGACAAGATGACAATAATTATATTAGATTTCATAGCGATAACAAGCTTGACTGTGGATTGTAAGAATATTTCCTATGACGCTGCAATTTCTGATGACTACGACTATCTAATGAAAATATTTGGATATGTGCCAGAGATGGATAGTGATGGTTAAATCAAGGTTTGATAATCTACATGAGCATTTCATTATCATGAAAATTCCACATGATAACCGAGCTTATGCGAATTATATGACAAGGGGATTTATCTTGTTTATGTTTGGTTGTTTGGATTGTATTTTTCTGGATTTTTTTTTGTAGAAAAAATACTGTAGTGATTTGATATATGTAAGATAAAAAGATAATTAAAAAATGTGTTTACGGAAAATGTAAGAAAAATTGTTTTCCAAACAAATATTTCCAAAGATGACTAATGGTAATTGCACCAAAGATGAGTAGATATTATCGTTTAAGTTTTATAGAAAAACTATTGATTCCACTAGTGCTGACCAAGTAATGTCCATGCTTGGAGTTTAGACTTTTCATATATTTTTTAACTTTTCGTGTTTTGCTCTAACTGTCATTATTAACTATGCAGGTTAATTATTTGCAGGTCATAAAAAAAAATGAACTTTGTTGGCTGCGTGAACGTATTTCAGCGATGAACCCAACGTGGCTTGTTTTTGAGAAGTTAGTAGTGGTACTCCATTTCCCAAAGCGCAGGCGCCAAAACTTGGAATTTTAAACCCTTGTCAAGGCTGATTAGCACTAATCAAAAAATTAATTACAGCAATTAATTATAGTCATAGCAGCCATCTATCTCTGACATTATCTCTGACGCTGACCCACGTTGTCCACATGGAATCATTTTGGACTGGTGGTTGAAGAGCGCTTCTGTGAAATTACCGTTTTGCCCCTACCTCTACCACTCGGGTCAATCAGTTGATATTTTTTTGATTCCGTCGTTCATTGATCATCGTCGTCGTCGTCGTCGTCTCAACTCAGTCAACTGTCGACACTTCAAACTATTTTCCAAATATTGATTGCTGTCACGCTATTTAGGCCCCATTCCCTCTCTCTCCTCTCTCTCTCTTTCACGCACTACACACACTCAAACAGACTGCAACAACTTCTACCCTTGTGGCTTTGGGTGGTCTACAGTCCATTTGTCTTGTAATCTTCTTGCAGGTTAATTTTCTTGACCTCCAATTTCTTGGTTGTTCTGGACTCAACTTGTTAATTTAATTGGTATGATTAATATTTGGTTTCTGGGTTGTCTTTATATTGGTTCATACTAGTAGTGATTCTTTAATGGAGACTGGATTTTTATGATGTGGGATGGCCTTTTTTTGTTTTGTGTTTTTGGTAAATTTTGCAATTTTTTGTTCTCATTCTTTTGGTGTAAATGTGATGATTTGAGAGTGGTCTTATCTGGGACTTCTTTTGTCCTGTTTTGAGTTTTCATTGCGGTTTTATACTTTGGATAAAGTATTTCTGCAATTTAATTGTCCCAAAAAGCCACTTTTCAAGTAATCGTGAAAACTTTGTTCAGAAAGTTGATATCTTTCTATTAGCCCCCTTTTCTAGGTTTATTGCCTTTTAATTAATAGGTTTTAATGTATTCAGGATAAGAACAAAAGGAATAGTTCTTTGTGGAATTAGTGGGCTTCTTTATGGAGTTTCCTCTTCTAAGTGCTTGTTTTTGAGCTAGGAAGATACCAATATGAGTGCGTGGTATGTGCTTAAGTAATTGTCGGTGCTGGGAAGTGTTAGTTGAACTAGGGGAGTGACCTTTGAAATATATAGGATTAAAAGTTTAGGGATACTTCATTTTGAACCTTTAAAATGCTCAAGGACTGCATTTTTGTTTTTCTTGTGCATTGAAGTTTGGGCATATAATTAGTCTGAATTGCTACTATCCATAGAAAACCGAATTAAAATGTGAACGGTGTACATAAATTGCCCTTGCAATTCCAAGAGGTTCCCTTAAGTAAATAGGTCTCTCTCCATATTCAGTTTTTTCATGTTTTATGTCTCCTAAATCGGTTGTGTTGAATACATTCAATTTTTTCTCATTGTATGGCTCGTAAATAGGTTGCACACGTGTATACCATGTTCTGTCTCGCATTTAATCCAAGTACTGGTGCAGTTTGGTTTAGAAGCACGGTGGACTACTACTTCTAAGTTAAAAGTAGTAAACTCTTTAAGGTTATCAGCAGCTTTTATGAAAGCTGGATAATTGCATTTCTTTCACTGTTAATGGCTAAGTTTGACATGGAAGCATGTTTTGGTATTGCCTTACTGATTATACCAACTGTTTGAAGTGCAAAATTGCTATCGAAATTAGATGAAATAAGCATGTCTCGTATGCCAAAATGTCTAGTTGGTTATCTTTTCAGCTAGATGTGAAGTAAAAGAACAGCCAACACCTTTACTAGTCCTTTGAGTTTCAGTTCCTTTGGTTTTACTGGGTTTTGGAGCCTATGCTTTTCTGGAACTGGCATGCACCAGTTCCACACGTGTAAGTTTGCTGCCAATAAATCATATGGGTTGGTTAGCGGGCTTGCAGGTTGAAAACTTGGCATATGAAGGGTGAGCAAACCACTTCCATGATACTCCAAAATGTTAATTCCAGTGGCTCGTTTACAAGTTTCTTGCATGTCTTTTAATATTGGTTTTAAAGCAGTCCCTGTTCCCTACAATGTATTTTTGACTTGTGCCATTCCTATGCACAAAGCTATGATATAACTTTCCCTTTTACAAACTATACCTTATTCAGCCTTGGTGATGAACTAGGAATTGTTGGTGACTACTGTTATATTGCTTCAGAACCCTTGAATCAATTAACTTGCGCTCTCATCCTTTGTCTTATAATTTACCAACCTTGTTTGCTGACAAATTTTCCTATTACATTAGGATTTCTACACTTAATTAACTGACATTATTGTTTTGTCTGCTATCTTGTTTTTTGCTTGCTGTGATGTTTATTGAAGTATGTTCTTCTCATGATGTTTCTTTATTCATTTCTTGCAGCATTTTAAAGATGCCTGAGGGAATATCAGCTGAGGATCTTATGAGCAATGTCATGGAAACACTTTCCGATGGTGTGTCCAAACATAAATCTGTGTCATTTTTTGAGGAGCAGAAATCAGGCTCAGTCTCTTCTCAGTTAAACAGATTGTTTGGGCGCCAGAAACCAGTTCATCATATTTTAGGGGGTGGGAAATGTAAGTGCGATCTAACAGTTCTTTCTGTTTATACCGTGTTACAATGATATCTGTAGAGACAATTTTACATCTCATCTCTTGTTAACCTGTGTGTATAGCTGCTGATGTCCTGTTGTGGAGAAATAAGAAGATCTCAGCTGGTTTTCTTGCTGGTGCTACAGCTGTTTGGGTGCTTTTTGAATGGCTCAACTACCATTTTCTCTCTTTGATATGCTTTGCCCTGATTTTTGTCATGGTTGCTCAGTTTGTTTGGTCAAATGCTTCAGGCGTTTTAAACAAGTATTCTTTCTGTTTAGACTACTCTAAACTTTTTTCTTTCATCACTCTGATTCTCTATGCTAATACCTTGGAGTTTTAATGGCAATAGATCTCGACCTGAAGTCCCACACTTTGTTCTGTCTGAGGAGCTTTTTGTCAATGTTGCTAAGACCACAAGTATTCAGGTCAACCAGGGTCTGGGCTTCCTTCAGGACACTGCATGTGGAGGAGACATCAAGCAGTTTCTGATGGTAAGAAACATATTGTCATTATCTTTCCTCTACATATATGCTCTCTTGAACATATTGACCATTTATTGAGGTCATAAACAATTCATGCATAAACTTTCACTGACATTCCATGTCAGGACTTCTTAAAAACTGAATAAGTTTAATGTGTTCTTCTCTCTTCAATACCATTACAATTTTCTTCAAGCTTCGGTTGATTATCCGACACTCCAGGTAGCTCATCCCTCTGGCTATGGGGATCTGTTATGAAACTTAAAATTTCTGCTTGCAACCAAAACTACTCATACATTACCAGTGATCCAAAGAATAGATTGTGGCTGAGCAACAATATAAGGTCTAGCAAGTCTTTGGTGTGTGGGTAAACTGTCCAGTAAAGAGTTGAGGAGCCTACTATAGCAAAGTTGGGTAGGTTTAATGCCAAGAATCATTTCCTATCACTTTATCTCTTTTCTGTAAGAACTTACTTATTGTGAATCAGGAGGTTGATGACTAAGAGGGATTTTGAAGAATGCTAGTCATTCGGGAGTTCAGTTTCCTAGTTAGGGGCATGGTAATAAGATAATAGGGAAAACATATTTCAATTTCAAAAAGCTTTGAGAATGTTTGTAACCTTCTAATTGCTGCACTCAAAAAGTTCGGGCCTGTGGGTGACTGCCATTTTGACACTCTGTCCACTTTTGGTACTCAGAGCCTATTTGAAAGTGCATCCACTGTGGATGCAATCCCCTATGGCCAGGTTCTGTATAGTGTTTCATTTACCGTTGGCTCAGACTTTTAGTCCATAACCTACCCTGTCCCTGCCTTGTAGGACCACTGTATGTCACTCACCTTCTAGTTAAGCGTGAAATTTGCTGCTTTGCACTTCCTGGAACTCCTAAAGATAGATATAATTTATGTGAATGATGAGTTTTGTATCAGATAAATATAAAATCTAAAGGCAGTGTATGATATAACTCCATTGTTTATTTGTGTGAAATAAAAAGCTACACAGGCTTCACACTGGGACATGCGCAGCAGACAGGAGCCGAGTCAGGATGTTTTACTTCCTTTTCAATAAACCATTATAATGTTATCCCGGCTGCTATGATCTTGAAAAATTTGCTGGTTGACTGGTCTTTTCTGCTTCCTATATTCTTCTGTTGGTTTTCCAATTCTAGCATCATTTGAAGAGTTCTTCTACATCATTTGTTAATCTCTATAATACTGATCTGCAGTTTATTTTCTCTGGGATTTAAGGTTTTTGTAACTTGGTCTTGTAGCACTATATCAGATGCACTGCTGTAAGAAATCTTTATGTCTCTTTCTTTATGAGTTTAGGTCATAGTAGCCCTGTTTTTAACTGATACTTCTTCTAGGCAACTAAAAGTCAGTAGTTTTCCTTCATTTTAGGTTATACTGAGCTTATTTGCTGTTGCCGTGATTTCAAGCTGGTGCAACTTCGTGACTATTCTGTTTATAGGTAAGGGATCTCTATTTTTTGAACTTATGACTTTATCAGTTTATTTGGTGTTGACTTAGCTGACACCTTGTTGGTTGCTACATACATGGCATGTTGGTGTCTCTTCATGCACTGGCCATCTTTATTTATTTGTTGATAAGAAATCAGCAATCCTTCATTTTGCATCCCAAGTTCAAATTCGGTCAACTTAAATATCTTGGCTACTGGGAATAGAAATCTGTGGCGTATTATTAGTTACTTCTTTATTACAGTGAAAGAAACGGGCAAAGCTACAATTTTCTTCTTTAGAAACACGATACATGAAGGAATTAATATGTTTGTTTTGCTAATCAGATTATGCTGAAGTTGAGAGATATTATCTTGTTATTCTAAGTAATTTAAGATTACTGTGTAAAAGATGCCCTGCTTTATAGCATTGAATCCCTGGATCGAACAAGTGGAGAAGGGATAGCAGGGGTTGGGGTAGGATGTGAATTGATGAAAGCTATTCATGCATTTGTTATGTGGGGTATGAGTTTTACGTGGTAAAAGTTTTCTTTATCGCTTAGAAAAATTTGATCTATTTCTTCAGTTGGCTGCTCCTGCAGATAGATTCTTACTCTTGATTTACCATCTGATGTAAAACCATGTCTTGAAGGCTTTGTTGGTGCCCACACGCTACCAGTTGTGTATGAGAAGTATGAAGATGAGATTGATGGCTTCGTACATAATGCCCTCGAACAGCTACAAGGCCGTTATCGAAAGATGGACACTGGCTTCCTTAGCAGAATTTCGAGGGCAAGTTTCAAAGGGAAGAAGCATGAATAGATTACATCTATTCAGCAGACAGGCAGATGCAGCAACTTATGTACACAATTGATTGCCAACTTGAACTCAATGTTGTATCTTTGTAGAGAATGTAGCATCTGTACCTTGCATTAGTTGCTTTGCTTGAATTCACCCTCAAAAATGGTACTGAAGTGCTTCATTGAAGTCAATCATCTTGTAACTAGACATTCTGATGTTTGGCTGAATTTGGAATTGACAGTAAATACACAAATAATGGAATAGGAATGTTTTATAGTGTGACAGATTTTGGTATAGTTTTTTATCTGTTTTTTTGATAAGATAAGGTCGTAATGGCCATAGATTAAATGTGATAGGCCTGTCTAGTTGATGAAATTAGGCATCCCCTTGATTGGTGTATCTTTGAAAAGCAAATGCATTACCGTCTTTCATTTTCCAAATTTTACATTTATAAAACTCAACTAGCAATGGTAATTTATTTGTTTTTAATTTTTTTTAATAGAGAGGGGTGGAATTTAAGAAACAAGGCGAAATGGCAAAAGATATTAGAACGTAATATGTTTAATTTTTGACATTTTAACGTGTAAATGATATAAGGTTTATGCTCTAAGAAGTATTCAAGGAGTGTACGCGTAAATAATAATCATTAGGCTTCACATAACCATTTTTCAGAAAATTAAAACCATGACCAATTTTTTCGGATCCGGGTATGGATTAGGCGGGTTCAACTAACATTAACAACCAATCCGAAAACATCCTTAATTAACCCTTTGCTAATCATCACACACCAACTCACGCACAAACACACCAAGAAACACACGCAGTGACAGACAGGTCTTTCCCTCTCATACTTGTATCTATTGTACTTGCTGCAAGAAAACAAATTTCCAGGCTTTGCAAAACCTTAAGAGAAATCCCACCAAGAATCCAGCTTGAAATCTCAGCTTTGATCACAATTCATGTCATGTTATATACGGAGAAAGTTCATTTCTTCCCGTAAAAATACCAACTTTTTGGCTATGGCTTGGTTTCCGAAATTCTCTGCTGTTCAGCCTTCATCAGCGGCCCTGAAGATCTCTTCTTTTCTGGGTTTTATTGCAATTTGCAAGAAGGGTTTTGGATATCAATGTGGTTGTCTTAAGCCCAGTTCAGTATTTTGTTGCCTTGGATGGAACAACCAGTTTCAGTACAAGCAGTAGCACTACTAGGAAGCTAACAATGGGGCTGATGGGAATTCGGCTGGAGCGCAATAAAGGAGTAAAGTTATGGGCTTTAGGGGATTTCAACCGGGTTTGGATCCGCCCAATTGGCGCCCTGCCTGGCCAGGCTTGGTTTCCCTCTGTTCAGTAAGATAATCAGTGGTATAATTTGTTGATTTTCTTGTATCAATAATTTTCTTCTGTTTTTTCTCTCTATGGCACACACAAACTAATGTCAATGTGTGGAATGTTGGTGCAAATGATTATTCGATGATAGTTGAGGTGTATACTACTTGCTTATTGTAGCCTTCTTTCATATGTAGGCTCTTAGTTGTATTGGGTGGATTTTTTTTTGAAATTTTTGAATAGTTTCTTTTTTGGAAGCAAAGGGGTTGTTCTTCCTCGTCCTGTCACATACTCGAGATTTATTGTGATGGAGGACATAATTAAGCCATTGAGATAATTTGAATTGCAATTTTTTTTTGTTGGGGGGGGGGGGTATGATATATGAGTAAAAAGTTTTACGTTGGGTAGCTGAGTTATTATGTACTAATAGAATTCAAGGTTGTTTGATCAAATAGTGGAACTGAGTAGTGATTTATTGTGATGTTGTACCTATGGTCATTTGGAAATGACAGCTGAAGTTTGCTATTGGAGTCAGTCCAAGTAGTTAAGTTACTTTTTGTTATTGTCTTTCAACTTGTGAATGAAAAAGGCTGTTAGATGCCATCCGTAATTCTGAAATGTTTCTATGAATCTCAATAAACTAGTCACTCATCAGTTATTCTGATAGTTTAAGGCGGGATTACCTTATTTTTTTGCTTCGATGAAAATTTAGAGTTGTGGATCTTCAATTTATATGCTTGGAATGTAGTTGGATGTTTGTGTTACAGATTTGTGAGAGTTGGGGGATTTTTTTCTTAGATTGCATAGAAATGCATTTTGTAGATTCCTTTTCTCTCTGGCAGTGTATATATGTGCATAAGTCTAATCTGTCAACTATATCTCTAGATTTGTACATCTGGATCATCAAATTGAATTTAATCAGCTGCATTTTGTTCTTTGTACTCTAGTTGAGTAGGTTAATTTCTGGTACTTTGGTTCTCTTTCCTTCTAAGGATTGAGCTCTCTCTCTCTCTCTCTCTCATGCAGGCACTCACACACTTTCATGCATGTATGCACTCTCAGATGTTAAGGGAGACACATGAAGATAAAAATGTTTGCGTGTTGCTTAATACATACACTGTCTAAAAATCCATTGTATTTGTACTGTCTACATTTTGGATAATCAGACCTTGGGAACCTCTTTTTGTTCCTTCTCTAGTGGAATGATTTGGTTTCTTTCTACATTGGAGTGCTTCTACTGCTATCTTCAAAATATACTGGAAATTGTCTACATTCCCTTTTCTATTTTTTCCTCTCTTTATACTGAAAATTACATGTGCAATGGAAACAGGATAACTAGACAGTTTTGTTGAAAAATTTGTGTAATCAGGAGAATAATAAAGCTAATGAAAGTTTGCAATTTTGCACAGCTATGCTACTGTTTACAGCGTCTTATAGTTGTGCATTCTTATTGCTGGACAATTACTGCATGCTGTTCAAAGTTGGATTGTGGTACATGAAGCTTCTCTTTTAATGGTCAGAAACTGATCCATCAGGGTTATAATTTATTCATGTTAGATAGAATTTAGCCTTTTTAACCTATTTTGTATGGGAGAGGAAAAAGAGTGATTCCAACAATTCACTTGCCATTACAACTCTTATCCAAACAGCTGGGTTTTAGCAGTAATGACTCAAGAGGGTCTTGGTAGCAAAGCAGGATTTTACTCAGAAAGGATGTGGTTTTGAAGATTTCACTTTTTCAATGGGGAATTATCCTGATATGAATGGGAATACATAAAGGTTGTCAGTGGCGTTGTACTCTTGGTCAATTTGAAATATAAAAAATTTTTATTTAAAAAAAAAAAAAAAACATAAAGGTTGTCAGTAGATGGTCCTGACTCCATGAAAAATCTTAAATGCAGCTAGTCCTTCGGAAGTGGTTAAGTTAATTGGGCATTTCAGCCAGTGTTGCATATGCAATTGGACTGAGTTTGTCCGCCTTCAACTATTTTCTGCATAAGTTATTACTTTCTTACAGGAGGCTTCTGAACTTTATGCAAACTAAAAAAAGTTCTTCAACATAGAATAGATATTCTGAAAAAACTAGCAGACTAGGTAGAATCAATTTTGAATTCTACACATTATATCCGTATTGAAAATGTGTTTTCCACAGGTCTTTGAGTTTGTGCAGCATTCACTTTTGACTACTATATTCTATTTCTTTCCTTTAAAGACATACAAATAATGCAAAGAAATATCAGCATTCACTTTTGGATCAGCTTGCTTTATTTGTATGTGTTTGTTGTTGATATTTCTTTCTAATTGTAGATTAATCACATGAAAGCCATGATAATACAATATCAGTTGTATATTTTTGTCGACCTACAACCAGATGGATTTTGATCATGACAGTAGATGTCATCATTGAAGCTCCTTTCCAAAAAAATATTTCCCTATCCTGTAATTACCAGATACATTTCCTGAGTGAAAGGAAGTATTAGATGCCACTATTCATATTCTGAATCAGATTTTCCAATATTTTTTCCTTTGGATCGTTTTGTAATATATAATTAGTATTCTGAGCAGTGTCATACTAGAGAACAGATTTGAGGTTGCTTTCTATTGTTGAATGTGAGATATCTTTCTGCATTACATCTCCACTTAGGAATTTGGTTTCTTGAATTTCCAAATGTTGGTTCACAGGATTGGAGAAGTTACATCCTTGGTCTATCAGAGTAGTTGCTGACAATATGGAAATACTCAATGCAAAAATGTTATTTGACCTTTTAAATGAATTGTCAAGGAGTTTTATACTTGCCTTATTTCAGAATTTAGTTGGTCATTTAGATGAAAGGTGGGAGCTAGAATCTTCATGTTTAATGAGTCCTCACTTTTGGTGTTGGAACCAATTGAGAGGAGGCAAATGTAAATTGGGATTTTACAGGTGCTGCTGGAATATGAAGATCTCTGGTCTACAGGGTACCATCAGCCCACTACCCCTAGGAAACCAAATTTTCTAAAATTGTCTTAGTAAAGTGATTTTAGAAGAATGCAATTGCAGAATATTGAGGAATTTGGTGGGAGAAGGGGCAGTAACAGTTGCCAATACAACCATGATAGTGCATCCATTCCTGAACGATGTAATGCTTCTTGAACAAGTTTTAACGCTTTAAAACCTACCTGTACACTTTATACTCATTTAGTGTTGTTGTGGACCTGTAAATGTCAGTTATGTCAGAGTTAAGTGGCGTGCTATGATCTGTGCATTTCAAAATTTTCCCTGTTGGCAAAATCCTTAGCGTATATTGGTTGGGACAGTTTTACCCGACAACCGTCCAATTCCCTCTGAAATTAGTGAAAATAGAGTGAGTTTATGTCCAAATGTTGGAGCGGTAGGCAAGTGTGAATGCATTTAGTGCTGGTAAGCATATGCGCCAAGACAGAATCCAAATACATAAATGTGTCAATTTTGTAAATAAGCCAGTTTTTGGTGGTAATCTCCTGGAGTTTGCTGTAGGGTTTGCCTTTATATATAGATCAATCTTTTCCGTAAGCAGAGGGTGATTGTTCTCTTGGTCACAGGGAGGCGAAAATGCTTCTTGCGGACAGTACAAAAGAAAGAAGAAGAAAGATGAAGAAGAAGAAAAGGAAGGATATAACTATGTGTTGCTCATCAAAAATAAAGAAGTTAATTTCAATCCATCATCGAATTAATGATCTACCAGATTCATTGCCCGTTTGTCCGTCAGGGTTTGATAAACTTTTTTCCTGTTCAACCTCTTTGTTTGCTCTTTGCTTCATTTCTTTTAGGAGATTATTGCTTTTTCGGAGAACTGTCAGCCTTAGTTACTAATTTTAATTCATTTCTTTGTCTTTTCCGGTATTACCTTATGGAAATTGGTATTGCCGACAGTGCATTTGCCAGATCTACGGCTACAGAGTGGACAAAAAAGAAGCATTACCACCTCTTGGCACATTGAAGTGCTCCCAAATCTACAGCCAGTGTAAAGTTCTCCACTAAACATTTACAGATGCTTTAGATGTAAGGATACCTTTAATGGCCTAAAAACGGGGTGGAGAGTGAGAAAGTTTATTGTGTGTAGGGCTAGAATACAAGATGAAATAGTTGTCAAACTCAGATGGAACTTGTAGCTACTTCCTTTGTCTTGGTCTAGAAAAGACCCAGGATGTTCTGGCTTGGTTAAGTCGTAAATCGATCTTCTTGTGCAGATTAATTTGGATCCATATCTAATCATACTCTTGTATTTGTCCATTGATTTGGACCATATACATACCATAAATAGCCTAATCATGAATGTTAAACATATTATATAAGTTTATATTCTGAATTAAAAGTCTAATTTGTTAATACAAATTTCTTGTAAGTATGGTAAGCAGTTATAACTGTGTTAAAAACCCATAAAAAATGGGTCTAGAAACCTAAGCAGGTGTGACCTAATTTGGATTTGGATATGTATGTGCTATTCCAACTTGGTTGAAATGGTAAACAGGCTTAATTCTTGCATCAACTCCTATCAGAATGAACGAAATAAGCATGATTTTCATTTTTGTTGCTTATGTATAAATGTTGAGGTGATCCTACAGTTGCATATATTTTGTAAATCACAAACCTGAAAGATTTTATTTTTTATTCAATCATGTGAAAATTTTCATTTATGTTGCTCTTGTTGTTTGGGAGCTATAGAGTAAACTACGTGATTATATTATCTTTGATTCCATTTTGTTGTTGTTTGGGAGCTATGGAGTAAACTACGTGATTATACTATCTTTGATTCCATTTTGTTGCTTGTAGATCCTTAATTTATCAGTAATAAAATTTGAAACATGATTCTTTGACTTGACAGATCATGAAGCTTGCGTGGAAGAACGTGGTAGAAAAATAGACTTCGCTTCTGGTAGCTGGTATTCTTGTTACACGTGTCAAGAGGTATCTCTATTTCTTTTACAACCGAAGGTGTGAATTTGTTGAAATACTGCCATGTATTTATGTTGCTTAACCCTTTGGTATATGACTTCTGTACTTTTTTCTAAGAGACATAAGATATAATAATGGAATGCTGTCATAGAAATGTCATTTTGTTGACCAAACACTTAGGTCTTGGGGGCATTTGGATGTGGGAATTGTGTAATTTCCAAACTATAATTTTAAATGACCCTGACAATGAGGTCAGACATTTTATGTAACAGGAGAGTTTGGAGTAGCATTTCGAAGATTTAGGTCATAGTTCGTTCTTTACCTACTTGTTTTAGAATTCCCAGGGAGGGAAAAAAAACAAGAAGATGTGAGCTGTTGCCATTGTACTGGTCATAAGGTTTGCCTAACCATATAATAGAGGGGACAAACTCCTCAAACAAAGTTTTACAGTTTTATGTGAATAGGCATTCCTTATTTGTGTTTTCTACAATTCCATTTTCGTTCCTTTTGCTGTAGCAAAGTAAATGTATCTAATTCTTTGCTCGTAGTTCCTTTCTACATGAGTAGAATATTCAATTCACTGTGTCATGCAGGTCTATCTAGGTCTTCAAGGACAAAGTGGCCTCATGAACCTGCTTCATGATGGAGCCTGAGGCAAGATGAGGCTGACCCAAAGACTAGGCAAGTATTGTGCCCTCTATTCTTTCGGAGGTTGTTTTCATTTCTCTTTAGGAAGTGATGAAGTTTGTCGTGGGAAACAGGAACTAATTGCGCTTGAACTACAAAGGTGGGAAACAGGAACTACTTGTGCTCGAACTGCCAGCTGAGTTGCATCCAGTGAGGTCTTTCCATACAATCTGGACAACAAGCTGATCAGGTTAGTGCTTTGAAGAAGCCAATTAGCAAACTAAAACTTGGGGATGCTGATGGATGAGAAAAACACAAAGAAAGACCTAGGTAGGTAGCTTGCACCATCAAGAACCTGAGACAAAAGTTTGATCTCTGTCTAGACAACAGCCTGATGAAGAAGCTCATACATGGGAAGAAGTCAGGCTTGCTAGACATTAGAATTCTCAATTAACTAATTAAAATGTTAAGGTGCAAGCAGTATGTATAATCAACTGACAAAGGCTGCCTAGGAAGGAATGGCTTCAATCTTGGAAAAAATCCAACTTGTAATAGTAGTCTCTTGTTTAGAATCTTAGTACGTAGCTGAACACCATCAAGAACCTGAGGCGAAAGTTTGGTATACAATCTGCGCCTGGACAACAGCCTGATGAAGAAGCTCATATATGGGAAGAAATCAGATTAAGGTGAGAAAGAAAAATAGTACTTTTGATATACTATTGAAATCAGATTAAGCTCAAATATGACGTTTGGTATGCAATCTGCACCTCGACAATGCATTCTAGTTTTGCAAATCAACTTTACGAGGCATGAGCCAAAAATGAAATAAAATAGATAAACGGGAAAAAGTGATTGTAATGTCAGAGATCTCTGTTTTTATTTTCTTTTTTTTTTTGTTGGGCTTTTGGGATCCAATTCCAAGCATGCTTGAGGTGGATCCAGCGCCGTTTGACAGGTAAATGACGCAACTGAATCGGGCCCAAGATCAGGTTCTCTTGAGTACTGGATCCATGCCTGGGTCTAATGGCGGATGGTTTCGTAACTTTCAGTTCATTTTACATTTTGTTAAGACTGTGTAAACTGGGTTGTTTACTTATAAGTTAATATGATATATAGTGGAATGTATCAGATTTAGTATTTAATAATTTAGTAATTTAATGAATTCAAAACTTTAGATTTCAAATTTCAATTTTATTAAACAGATTGACTATTCTTATTAGACAATTCACTTATAAAACATATTTTTGTTTGAAAGTTTTTCGATTGTTCACGAGAAAATCAAGGGTTCGTGAATCTTGATTGTTTTTCTCAAGAGCATAGTTGAAAAACCCGGCTTGGCCCAATGATCGAAACGATCAATCCAGTGAACCGACCACAGGATCGGGGTGGGTTGTTAATTAAACTAATTAAGTAACAAATCCGTTGACCAATTAACGACCCAGAAATTCAACAGGTGAATTGGAAAAAAATCGCCGATTGAACCATCAACTCAACAATTTTATTATTTTTATAATTTAAAATACATTATTATATTATATAATATAACTATTGTGCAACTCGTGATTAAATTAGTGATCTGGTGACTCGATCACCTCTCCGAGTTGAGCTCGAGGTCAAATTTAATAACTATGCTCAAGAGTGTTCATTTAACACTTTTTTTGGACTGCGCTTCCGTGTCAAACACATCAAGAAAAGATTGAAGATGCTCGAGTATTGGTCTTTGGCTGTGTTTGGTATTCTTGCTTCTTTCGCGTGCTTTTTAGACTTTGACTTAAAGACATCAAAACAAAGGTGACATAACAGGTCCAACATAATGGCGTGTTCAAGGTACAAATCTGCCATCTAGCAGCAAGCCTAGGAATCATTTTCAGTTGTGGTTGCAATTTTATTTTGCAGCCATCAGCTCAGTCGAGAACCTTATTTCTCTAAATTATGAAATTCTGAAGACTCTCAACCCACATTATATCTCAGAAAATTGTTGAAATTCATTCTAATTCATTCCATTCCTAAGACTGCAACTTAAAAGAGGTGTTCAATCACACCACTTTCAAATGAATTTACATATATGAAGTGAAAATCTTCCATGTCAGATGAGCTTGACGAAGGAACTACACCTTTTGACTAATCAAATCCTTAAGCCTCCACCTACCTTTGTTTTCAAAGTGTATCGTCAGTAAAAAGATCCAACATTGTCAAATTCTTCAACTCTTTAACCTGCCTTTTTGGCCAGTGAGTGCCACATTATCTTGCACGTGAAAATGCAACCTAAGAGCGTGCCTAAACTCGTGCAACCACGTGTGGGATGTGTTAAGCAGCCAGTTTGCATGAGTTCCCCCCATGCATGGGGACCTCTCGTGCCATTTAGGACACCATATTGGATTCTACAATAATATCTCTACAAGGGAACAAACTCATACTGGAAAAGAAGACATTTAAGACCTACAGCTAGTGCAAAAATAGTACGGACTAAGATTCAAGTTTGTAATGCGATTGATCTTTAAGCTATAAATAGGTGCCCCTAGCTTGAGAGATCCACAAAAGCAAAAATTATTCCCACAAGTGAAAAAAAAATTGATTTTGCTCTAATTAGAATGGTGATTGTTAACAGCAAGAAAGTTTTTCCCACCAAGTTAGATGTCAAGGAAGATGCTTTTGATGATAATTGGAATGTTACAATTTTAGCAAACGAAGGGGATGGCGACGACGACGACGACGACGATGATGGCGGAGGTGTAGCACCAGCAGCATAATTACAAGACCTTCGGGTGGAATGTGGTGCACTTATATTCTCTACAGAGTATTAATTGAGAAGATTATGCTTAGTACCACATATTTGTAGTATCAATCTTATGCTAGATGGAAATGAAGGGAGGGAGGGAGATAGTTTCTATGTTCTTTAACTCTCTTCATTTAGTTTGGAAGGGGACAAATTACTTGGTAATTTGTTGGCTTATATAGTATTTGGTAGCAGTTAGTCCTACGGGCTGTATCCTGCCATTCCTACTGGTAATGAGACAATATTATATTGTTGGATTTAATTACTGATGTGTGTTTTATGTTATTAATTACTCCATTAAGTTCTTCCTTCTTGAAACCAAGCTACTTTCCTGTGTTTGCTTGTGGTTTGATCTTTCTTTTGAGATATTAAAATTTTATTAACATAATTTTAAGTTCTCCATTCTTCATTGTTCAACAACATTAGGCTCAGTAGCCTACAAGAAATTTCAAATGGCATCCGGACTCCACGGCTAAGCTACTAAAGTACTCTTTACTAGAGAACATATATAAAGTACTCGTGCAATATTTTTGCCTAGATTACGGACTTATGTGCACAGATTGATTGTATGATGATCCAGATTTATCTGGCATGTTATCAGAAGAAAAGACTATCAAAATCATAATCTCTTTAACCTAGCTCACTAATTTGATTTGTTTCTTCTGTGTACCAAAAACGTTTCCAGTCAAATTAGCTACATTAAACTTTACTTGAGTCACGTTTAATGTATTTGCTGCTATTAGTGCAAATATTAGAATAAAATTATCATTTTTTTTATTAAAAAAAACTAGTTAGGTAAGGAACTTTGTGGAATACAAACCTGAAACTTAGGGTTTTTTCCCCCTCTGAGGTAGGCTGAACTTAGCACTTTGGTGAGCTGTTTATGTTAAATTCCAAAATTGAAATGTATACAGTAAATGGAGGGGATGACAACAATGGATCGAGTGTTTCTCATGCTATGAATGGATAAAAAAAATGTTTCCGGGTGTGTCTTACCATCATTAAGTTAAAGAGGGGAAAAAATTCACAGAATTGATATCATGTGCTTGCTTTAATTCCTATGACTATTATAAGGCATCGGTATGCTTTACAGAAAGTACTGTTAAATGTATATCTGTTGTGGTACCAATTTCCTGACCTACCTACATCTTTGCCCCTTTCCTTTCTTATGCTGGTCTGCTTCCTCTTGATTTTCATAGAATGTTGTACATTTTGGACTAATCCCACGAGCCAAAAGAACAGTTGATTTTTCTGTAATTAGAATTGTTAGGACTGACTCAAGAATAAACAAACTAAAGTTAGAATAAAATAGGCGGTATAACCGACCATATAATGGTTAGGCGATAGACACCAGCTATATAATAATTAGGCGGTAAAATCGACCATATAAAAGGGTTGTGACAACCTAATAAAGATAAATAATAAAGCAAAATAAAAGACACCAAAATTTATGTGTTTCGGTCAAATTGACCTACGTCCACGGACGAGGGAGGAGCAATATTTCTACTATGAAAAAGAAATACAAAAGCCGTAGGAAAGTGGTTCCTAGGTCAAAATGGCACTTACAAAAGGATTAGAAAATATTCCTAAACTCAAAACAAGAGAGCCTAAAATATTTGACTAAATGGGCTAGATGACCCAAGAACCTAATAGCCCATATAATGCTCTCTTGAGTGGTGCAATTAACTTCAACGCCAAGCCCCCTATTTATAGGTAAACAAGGGGAGGCTTTTCTTTCTTGATTGCCGATGTGGGACGGAAAAATTTTGTCACCCAATTCAACCATCGTGGGGGTTGAAAAGTTAACAAATTTCCATCTTGGCATAATTTTTAGTCTCACCATCGACAATAGTAAAACTGTTCCACCTTCTCCACATAAGTCCCAATGGGCCAAATCACATACAACGAACACCAACCAAATCCAAGCACTGCTTGAACTTGTAAACTGGAAGAGGTTTCGTAAACATGTCAGCTGGATTGTTCTTGGTATTGATTTTTTGAATAAGGATCTTTCCTTCAGCAATGATATTCCGAATAAAGTGATACTTCACATTAATATGTTTCGTCCTCTCATGATATATCTGGTCTTTAGTCAAGTGTATGGCACTTTGACTATCACAATGAATAATTGTAACACCTTGATGTAGACTAAACTCGCTAAATAAACTCTTCAACCACAAGGCTTCTTTGATTGCCTCGGTCACAGCCATATATTCTGCTTCTGTAGTAGACAAAGGTACGACAGGTTGTAGAGTAGCTTTCCAACTAACAGCAC